AAAATGCTACTTTAAGCGAAACAGTGTTAAGTGAATCCAATTTCCCCATAAGAATTAATGTAAATGGGGGTGGGGGAGTGTTGGGTTCCAGGGAAATTTTTTTCACCAGACAAAAGACTACATATATACACACATATAAACAGTATAAGTTTTAAACAAACAATTTAATACTGGCACACAGCAATGATGATTGTGAAGCTTGGTTGAGGTGGTGAAGTCAGAGGGTGGAATATTTCCCAGGGAATGCCTTACTGCTAAATGATGAACTAGCACTCCGCTGAGCCCTCAAGGGTTAACACGTTGTTAATGTAGCCTCACACTCTACAAGGCAGCAGGAATGGAGAGAGGGGAGACAGCATGGCAGAGAGAGACAGAGACACACACCATGTGTGTGTGTGTGAGAGAGAGAGAGACTTGCATTGCCTCTTTAAGTACGCTGACCCCACTCTAAGTACATTGCCATTTTAAGTAGATCAGCAAGTTGAGACAGCAGCTGCTGCTAGCAAGCTCCCTCCGGTGTGGGGAGGGACAGTTGAACTGCCTGGTAATGGATAGCCTGCTGGGCGGCTGCACAGGGAATTTAGGGGAGCTTGGAGCCAATAGGGGGGCTGCCGGTCCACCCTGGTTCCAAGCCCCCACCAGCTAGCTCCAACGGGCTGCTCTGTCTGCAAGCAGTGGACAAAGCAGGCGGCTGCCAAACAACGTTATAAGGGAGCATTGAGCAACTTTAAATGAGCATGTTCTCTAATTGATCAGCAACGTAACAACGAAACAACGTTAACCCGGACGACTTTAAGTGAGGAGTTACTGTATTAAAAGATTCCGTGACTGTCATTCTGTAGCCTAGAATGTCTGTTGAGTCAGTATCAGCGGGGTAGCCGTGTTAGTCTGGATCTGTAAAAAGCAACAAAGAGTCCTGTGGCACCTTATAAACTAACAGAGGTATTGCTCTGACGAAGTGGGTATTTACCCACGAAAGCTTATGCTCCAATACGTCTGTTAGTCTATAAGGTGCCACAGGACTCTTTGTCGCTTGTTGGGTCAGTGTGAAGCAATGGAAACGGCTATAAGCATGGTTGAGAGCTCTTTTTGTTTAGATATCACCAGTTTCAATCATCACTGGAATTTGCTGCCTGTTACCATACAATATTTAAGTTCTCAGCCATTTCAACTTTACAAATTGCACCCGTGTGAAAGGCTTTCAGGTACCGTCAATCCAATCACCACACTTACTTTACAGCTAAGTTGCATGCACAATATCGTATGTTGTATGACAGATACTGCACATATTGTGCATTATTTGGCCCAACTGCCACAGTTCTTACAACATGGGCTTTTGCCTAATATAAGAAATAGTGTTCTATACTCCCAGTTTCTCAGGTATCTATCCAAATTTTTATCCCTCCCATCAGCAGAGTACAAAAATCTACAAGAAGACCACAAGTTCTACTCCTGAGGGAATTCTGCACCAAAAATTAGACATTCTGCTTAAAAAACAAAAACAAACAAAAAATCTGCACACAGTATTTTAAAATTCTGCAAATATTATTTGTCAATAAATAAATGTGGAGGCTCCAGAATGGTAGTGGGGAGCACAGGCCACTGGTTGCACGGAGGTGGGAGATCACCCTCCAGCCCCACCTCCGGGGACACGGCTCGGCAGTGATGCTGCACCCGAGCGCCCCAGCGCAAGAGCTGGGCCTGCTCCAGCGGTCCTTGGCTGGGGGCGGGGGGTTGCAGAGTGCTCCCCACTGCCATGCTGGAGCCTCCACATTTATTTATTGACAAATTTGCAGAATTTTACAATCCTGTGCACAGAATTCCTTCAGGAGTAGCAGGTGAAGCAATTCCCCAGGGTTAGCAGCCCCACGTTAGGAACACCAGGTGTGGGCAGGCAGGCTCAGCCAGGCAGGATCCAAGTGTGAAGGGGCTTAGGGTGGGGGGGATCCAGGTGTGAGGTAAGAGGTTTCTGTGTGGGGCAATCTGGGTACGGGCAGCTCAGTTGGCGGGTCCGAAGGGGATCTGGATGTGCCAGGGCTCATTGGGGGGGAAGGGTTCCAGGTGCAATGGGAGTCTGCATGGGAGTCCAGATGAAGGTGGTTGAGGCTCAGTTTGGGGGGTCTGGGCGTGGGAGGGATGTGGCTTGGCGGGAGAGGTCGGTCTGACCCAGCACAGGACAGGGCATCCCAGCCCAGCACCCCCTCCCCCAGCAGTGATTTACCTCTCCATTGGCTGCTCTGGACACCCCAAATAACACGCCTGTGCTGCTGGGAAGGAGTGCATGACCGTTCTTGCAACTTCCCTTTGCTTCCCAATCAGAAAGTCATTTTTCTACGGGGAAGCAAAGAAATCTGCTCAGGACATGAATTCTGTACATGCACAGTGGCGCAGAATTCCGCCAGGAGCAAAGTTCAGATAAATTGTCTTGAATCAGTCATTTACTTATTTAAAAGATGAAAAATAAGTCATGCCACTTCATTGGAAGCCTGACACCAGAGTCTTAGAAGTCTCTGAAGTATTTCATTACATTTATATTAGTAACTTTTACGTGTTAATAACATAAGTGACTAGGCAATACAATTATTTTTTCTTCAGTGAAAAATAAGAACTAAATTCCATACAACTGAACAGGCTGCAGGAGTTTTACAGTAATATTTTCGTCCCATTTT